ATATATATATATATATATATATATATATATATATATTTCAGATGCAAAAAAAAAAACTAAGTCTGTCTGAGATTTTTCTGAGATTGTTTTTTTCTTTTAAATTAGCATTTTTGTCAGGCTCCTAAGTTTAGGTTCAGTAATTTCACTTTAATGGCAAAGAAAATGTTATTAGTCAGTTATTGAATGTCTAATTTTAAAAAATGTCCAATGTTATTTTCATAGGATCCTGATGAAAATGCTAATTTAAAAGAAAAATGACTTTTTGCATTTGAAGTCTTCATATGTTTCTTTCTTTCTTTGGATTCTCTGCTGGACAACATTCTTTAAATATATGCATTTCCAAATGTATTCCCAATTTTTCTTCCCCAAAATAAATAAATACATTTTATATGTGCACACATACACGTACACTGACATCCAGGAGGGCTGAAGACACATTCTCACACACTCCACTAAACCCAAATGATGAAATACTGGGGGAGTGAGAAGGAAAGCCTGAGTCAGCAGACGCTGGGAATCTGCAGCTCAGTGTGAGAATGTTCACTGAGGAGACGCACACCGATAGAGACACCAATCACAGGCCTCAGAGATCTCCTCAAACCTGCTCTCTGCATCTCCACTCCACCACAGCAAACACAAACACTACATGAAGGGCTGCTCTGCCGCCAGTGAACCGCACTCTCCTCATGCATCGAGTGTGTGTGTGTGTGTGTGTGTATTTGTATAATCTCGTCAGAATGACCAAGAGTGTTCGTTTGCGCAGCACAGGAGACCTTGGGATTGTGGGAAAGTTCTCGTATGGTGAAACGTGTCGCAGAGACGTACCAGTATCATCACACACGAACACAGAGTTCAGGCTGACAGGTCACGACAGCCTAACTGCCTTCCTGAAACTCCAGACGTGTTTAAACACATACAGCAGCTCAGTGAAAGTGTCTCTGTTAGTTTAGCGTGTCTGCGTGAGTGACAGAAAGAGAAAGAAAGGGAAAAATACAAAGAGAGATTGCTCACTTCCTCTAGTTAGTAAGATATTCCACACACAGTATTGAAGGAAACGGCAAGAACTCTCACACATTAATGTGATGCAAGTATGTGTATGTGTGTGTGTGTGTGTGTGTGTGTGTGTGTGTGTGATGACACTACAGCAGTGCTGGAAATACTGACGGGGAAACACCTACACATTCCAAACAATCCACAGGGAACACACACACACACACATTCATATCTCACCATGACAAACATTTATAGATGAATCTCCTGAAGCCTGTCCTAATCATATTTCACCCCAAAATGTAAGAAAAAAAAAGAATATGAAGACTATTTAGGACCACAGAAGTTTGTAGTCTGCAATTTAACATTTTGACAATATTTTCATTAATGAAACAACCGCAAATTTTAGTATTATAATGTAATATACACACATTAATCTTAAAATAAATAAATAAATAAAAAAGGCAGCATGTATTATGTTAAAATCCCAAATTGTTATAATGTTTAAATACAAAATAAACAAACAGATTTGTAGGGATTGGGAATGGGAATTTTTCATGTAAGCATAATTCATGTAGTCCCAGTGCCGAACAAAGACAAATCAATCAAAATTTTCAAAAATAAATAAATATGGACAGCATTTAGACATTAAAGTAACGAGCCAATAAAATGCCAGTTTCATCTCCCCTTCTGTTTAGAAAGCTACGAAGCACATCCAAGATACATTCATTTATTAATTTATTTTCCCTATGTGTTCTGTGACAGGACAGATGGCTCCGATGAAAAGATGAATATATGAAAAAGAGGAAGAAGAAACGGAGTCCAACTATAAAAAAAAAAAAAGGCCAGCTGTCCTGCTCGGAGGTGATGACGTGTTATGAAACATCAACCTGGGAAATTATGCGCTGAGATGATTTAAGAGACGCCCGCTCTTCCGGCTCTGTTCAAACACAGTTGGAAAAGAACAAACTAGCTTTTGCAACCCAAAGTCAAACAAACAGAGCCACAATGACTCTAGTGTTGGAGTCACGCTGAGCAGATGATTAAACTGTGAAGTCATCCGTTCAAACTGAGAGAGAGACAGAAGCTCAGCCATCTAAGACACTGCAGGTTCCTCGCACCGATCAGTCCAACAGCTCATCTCTCAAACATTGATGCACTTGTGCGTCATCAAACTTGGCAAATTAACATGCAAAAGCACAAATGGGTCATTCTGTGTCAAATTATCCAAATTCCAGAAAATATCCCCATCTCAAATTTTTGATTTTTTTTTTACAAACATAAATAGTGATGAAAGCCAAAATATTAAATGTCACGGATGTATATTTACAGAGTAATCCACTATTGGACCATTTTCACCCGGAGATGAATTACAGGGGGGTAAAAATGACGTTAGAAAGATGGCAGCAACATAATATTATTTTTACACAGAGATTGGTAGGTCTATTAGTAAAATATTTTGTCTTTTGCAATCGTTGTTGCAGTAAATGTCAAAAAATGAGGAAAAGTGCTCTTGAGTTTGTTTGTTTTTTGCCCCTCAAAGTTTGCATGGCTGTAACTCAAGAAGTATTAAGGATCTCATAGTATCCTTTTAGATTTTGGTTTTTAACAAACTTATCTTTTGGTTTCCTTATTTTAAAGGCCATATATGGTTCAATTCCACAGATATTAAAATCTCAATATGGCTCCAAGAGTAAATTGTTAAAAACCAATGTGGGTCACTGACAGTGACACGTACACTAACAGAACTAACAATACTGTGAACAAAACTAGCATTTATTCATATTAGTCAACATTAGCAAATGCATTTACTAATGTTAACAAACAAGACCTTTTTGTAGTGTTACCCATAGTTGTACAGTATACGGACTACTTTTGTAGTCATTTTAGGGTTTACAACAACATGTGAGTGAATAAACGGCAGAATTTTCATTCATGGTAAACTAAAGCTGTTAATAGTTCTGCAGTGTCTCAGTCTGACCTTGAGAAACACTGTTTATGCTGCATCTACATGGTCTGTTTGTTGAGTAATTTGGTTGGCTCTTCTAGGCTAACAGCACCAGGCTGCAGTGAATCAATGACAGATCGCCTCTCCATTGTTTGAGCCACGCTGAGAGAGGAACACAGCCACTTCCTCTTCAAACCCTATTGCAGCGTATACAAATGGCTGACAGCATCCGTGTGCATGCGCTCATGCGGTTGTGCCCTTGTACATGGACACGAGACCACAGCGCCTGACATATGCAGATTGTTTATGGAGGTTGAACTGTATTTACCGGACTCTAGGCAGCTCACATATGGCTACCGTCTTCATTCAGACAGGTAAGATGATTTCCTCGAGCACCACTCCGCTCACGCTGGGCTAATTGCTGCCACAGACCCATGAATTTTGACTAAACAGAAGCACCGAGCAGATGTTTCGCAACACATAAAGGAAGCCATCACAATCTACAGCATTTAATTGATTGTTGTTTTTCAGTTTACAGCACTAAACAGAAATGCAGAGGAAATTAGACACCACATTTCCAAGTACTAAGAAAAAAACCAATCGCATCTAATGGAAGCTGTTTAACAGCAAGAGAGTGACTTACTAAGCATAAATTGAGCGAGATCCCATGGGCCTAGTGCACACATTTAAATAGGCCCAGATGCATTATCATGCTTGATTATATTCTCCCAAAAGCCACTTCAGAGTTCACAAACATCAAGCTGCACAACACAAAAAATTATGCATTAAATTACTGGAGGAAAACACCGTCATCTTACCAGCCATCATCTTCTGCGCTTCGTAGGGCTCCATGTAGCCGTCGTTCTCCGTTGGCTTTTCTGTGACCGTCTGGGTGCCACCCGCCTGGTCCGCTGCGTCAAAGGGGTCGGCATAGTCCTCTAGGATGATGAGCTGCAAAATTAAAGAGAAAAAGCATCATTTAAATTAGGGCTGTCAAATTAATTACGTCATTGGCTGCTTCCAAAAATCAAATTGCATGTATATCAGTAAAAATATATCAACATCAAGGCCTATATCCTTGTAAAGGTTTTTTATAAATCGAACAGAAAAGTGCAATCAAGTCTGGGTTACCCTGTGAGAAGAGAATCAGAAGATGAGACTCATTTCATTCTCTCACTTTCATTAATTTATTTCTACCCCACTGTTCCTCTCTCTGCAGGGACAGGACTCAAAGGATGCTTGTAGAAGGAGGCTGTGGTGAAAGGCACAGAAGGTAGCCAAACTCGCTCTTCAGTCACACGTACAGTAATTATAAATTCACACACAAATACTCTCAAAGATTAGTCTTGTTAGCCCAGCTTTTATATATTGACCAAGTCTAGTCCATTCTCCATCTTACTTTGGCCAAGAACCTCTCACTTAGACTGTAATACTTTTTTTTTATTATTATTAATTTGTATGTATTATTAAGATTTATCTGAAAAGGCAAAACAGATCAAAAGGGAGTAAATTCAAATCATTGCACGGACATTTCAGTCCAAGACCGCCTGTGAAGAAAACACAGTTAAAAATAAAAATGTAGTATATATTTTTTGTAATTTACAATTTATTTCCTTTCTAAAAGTAATAAATATGCATTATTTCACAAATATAACAGAGAAACAAAGACAAATTATACAGTTCTACTCATTAACTCAAGAGGTAATGAATGAATCTCTGAGATTCTGTTAATGTTCTAGTCACAACTTTGATTAATGTTTATTGGATGATATTTCGGATAAGTTAGAACCTACCATGCCACATGGTCTGCTTTGCTTGAGGTGACCAAATACTATCTGAAGGACAAAATATTTTCCAGCAGTATTGTGAATCTGTAGTCTTCTCTCGCAATTTTAAACTGTGGTGTCCCACAAGGCTCTGTTCTAGGTCTGATTTTATTTTCACTGCATGTGTGTCCTTTGGGCTCAGTTTTCCTTAAACACAACTTTTCTTTTTATCATCTCTATGCTAATGATTCACAGTTGTCAAACCACTCACACCAGGTGAACATATAATCATCTATCTTCCACAATCCATTCACGTTGGCCTATTATCATGGTATAATCCATTTCATATCCATCTGCAATATGTATGAGGCAGTCAGCGAGGGGACTATGGGTGGTTTGTGGGTGTGCCGTCTGAGGCTGAGTCTACTCTAAGACACACGAAATGAATCAACAGAAGAAGTATAAACTGTTCCTCTCTGCTCACACAACATTGCACAAATACAGGCTTTGGCAGGCAGACACGTTTAATTGCAGCCCTGTTCTTCTCCTTATTCTAAAGGGTATTTCACACGCATTATGGTAATTAGATGCACATGACCAACACTCTGAGACACATTCATTACCCCTAGACTGTTTGTCAAATTGGAATTTGGTCTCCTCACACCACAAAGCTGTAATCAACGACTCAGAGCTTCAAAATACACAATTTCAAGGAAGGATGTGACAAAACAATAAGCCTCTGTACAAGGAAATGTTGTACTGGAATACCAGTCATCCAACGGAGCATGAACTATCAGCAATACAAAGATCTATGCATGTGTGACACCAACCATGCAATCACACAATGCATTCTGCAATGTTAATACTCATGTTCAGGAAACTGTGATATCCTTTCACAATGTGGTTCATTATTAATAAAGTATGAATGAATAATTCAATTTAATATAATGGCAACATGATCTGCGGTTTGAAATGAAACATGCTGGTGATTTTGCCCTCAGTAAGAGAGAAAGAGTTCAGTGAGATGGTGCCATCTGCTGTGCTGGTCTCTGGCAGAGGTTTGGACTTTGAATTTGGACAACTCTCGGCATTCCTCTGGTGCAGAACTACCACCATATGAGATAGTTTGGAGCAAAACAAATGCAGCAGAAGCTGGGTCACACAATCGATTCACTCTACACACAAATGTAAACAAACGCCATTCATCTCACATATTTTACATTCTTTGTAGAAGGTCAGTGTGTGTTTTGGAAATGAATATGTGTAATTGTTCTCTATGGTTTGTGGTCAAAGATAGACAAGAGCATTACCATAATTGGAGAACTACAAATAGACCTTAGCCACACATAAAAGGAAACCTCAATGTTCCAGTCACAACTTTTTGATTCATGTATACTGGATGATATTTCTGATAAGTTAGAACCTACCATAGCACAGGGTCTGCTTTGCTTAAAGTGACTAAGCCCCCTTTTCCATCAGTTTTATGAATCGGTCTTCCTCTCCGGCAATTTTAAACTGTGGAGTCCCACAGGGCTCCGTTCTAGGTCTTATTTTATTCCCACTGCATGTGTGTCCTTTGGGCTCAGTTTTCCACAAACACAACCTTTTTTATTTTTATCAACTCTATGCTAATGACTCACAGTTGTCAAACCACTCACACCAGGTGAACGTCATCGACCATCCACACTTACTGCCTGTAAGAAGTTACGCCTTGGTTGGTAAGAAACCTACTTTATGACGATAAGAGGGAATGCATTATATCTGGACCTTTTAACACAACCAATAAAATGTCCAATTGATCAACTTCCATTTTGATTAATGTATCTCACCACAGTAAAATATACTTGCTTTTTCTTCTTCTCTTTTACAATTGTAACACTATTTATACGGTAATCTCTCAGCACCATCTGTCCTTCCTGCAGCTCTCCAGAATGCAGCTGCCAATCTTCTGACAGACAACAAGAATGAGGATCATATTACACCAGTCTTGGCTTTCCTCCACTAGCAATCCAGTACACAATTGATTTTAAAGTGCTACTGTTTGTTTTTAAGCCTTTGCATGGCTTATCACTATGCAATGCTGATTTTCTCCAGGCTTTTGAGATATTCATTTACAATTACATTTATCCATTTGGCAAACCCTTTTATAACCCTTTTACAGACAGGTAGTCCCACCCTATACCACTGGTGGACACAATGATGCATTCACTCAAATCAGGCCGGTCAAGCAAACAAAACTCCACAGAATCAGTGTTTAAAATGATTTTTCCAAAAGTCAACTTAGAAATGGTTTACTTGTTGCAGTTTCTTTACATAAACGTGGAGAAGAACAAGTATTTTAACATCAAAACATCTACAATCTTCGCGGAAAAGAAAAACATCTACATAATCTAAGATCCAAAATTAGTATTTTAAATCTAAGTTTGCTGGAAACCCTGCATTTTTCTAAGTTTAAGGTATGAGGGGGCTGTAGCAGAGCAGGAACAGCGAGGCCATCATCATCTCTATGTAATTACAGGCTATTCCTCTGTGTGCTGTGGGATTGAGACAGGGGACGAGACCCAGCATGAACATAAACTCCAGTTTACTTTCCTACCACAGATAAAGTTCCTGCAAAAACATCACCGTTAATCACAAACTGTAATGGCACAGTGATAGATGTTAGAAACAACAGCTCTACAATTCATTTCAGAGTCAGAGCTCTTTGCTTTCTGAAACTGCCATGTTCACTCCCCTCATCCTTTCCAGTGTTTACAGAGGGACGAAAGTGAACCCAAACCACACTGTTTGACTGCAGTTAAAACCAGAAACCAGCGTCAGAGAGAGCCGAACACATCAGCGCTTTATGGGATCAGACCAAAGGACATACTATTCTTACCACTTCTGCAGTATGTAGTGTGCACACTGTGCACAGCATGTTGATTTTCAGTATGCATGGATTACCTACAACAATTTTGAAAGTATACAACAAAACACACTGGACAGAACAGTTAAAATGCAAAATGTCCCAAAATGCAATGCTCTCTACTTGACCATGTAGTAAGTCAATGTGACGAATGAAACAGAAGTTAAGCATGATTTTTAACATCTATTTATTATTATATTATTTATAGAAAAACAGTAGGCAGTATGAAGAATACAACACACAGTACTGTATGTATGTACTGTAAGTATGTAGCATGCTTGCATTTCATTTTGAATATGTTGGCTTGATTAGCATGTGACAGATGGACGGCAGATGTCCTTTTGAGTGAATAACGCCATCAAGGTATTTCTCAAATATTACCTGGCTCAAGTACCACATTCTATATTGCCCTGCGCTTGCAGATGCTACTAGCTGATTTCATGCTGGAAATATGGACTTATCATAAAGCAAGGACAAACAACCATCAAACAGAGGACGCGAAGGAGCAGATATATGTATAGCCATCTTTCAATCTCACATGAGAAGCCAGTCAAAAAGCTTTTTCACTGTTGTTAATGCTGTGGTTTCAGTGGGGCTGTTTTCACTCTGAAACACGTCAAGGTCAGCCTTCAACTCCCTGAGTCCACACAGCTCAAAACACCATTATCTGAGTCTGACACGGAGGCATGCAAAGCATTAATACGCTTTCAAAGAGTGAGATTCGCGCTCATAACTGAGCTGATTCAGTACTATAAAGCCATCCAGGTCAAATAAACATAAAGAGAGAAAAAACAGAACAGCTGTGACCATCAGTGATGCATTCAAAATCATTTCAAACTTCCTTAGCAAACATTTTACTACTAACAAAGAGATTAATCACAGTGAATTTCATTTCTTCAAAATTAAAATACATTTGCATAATGTATATTAATTAACATAGCTGAGAAGTTACATAATGGAATTTATTTAATAATTGATTTATTCCACATTTAAATTTCTTCAGCAAACATTTGACTATGAACAAAGATATTTCGGCCTACACAAAATGTATTATATTTTAATAATGCATGTGAAATTAACATAGCTGAGAAGTTAAGATAATGCAATTTAACTGATTTATTTAAAAGCTAAATATTTTTTTCACATTTTTAAATGCACATTATTTTATTCACGGTCCCCTGGTCACCCAATTATCTAAAACGTATTTGAGAAGATTGAACTCTCAGTGATTTAAAGGATTAATAAGGGAAAGGCTAATTATATTGAAGCAACAGCATGTT